GGTCTAGTAGTCACCAAAGAAGAAACTCTAACAGTGTGTGCATGTCAGGGGCCAGGGCAGGGGATGTCCAGTTTTCCAGTGATTGCACCGCACTGATTGAAAGTCTGCGGTCTAGTCAAAGCAGGATTTATTCTGACGCCTGTGTTACTGATCCAACATAATCAGGATAATGCTGCTGCTTACTTGCGGATTATTACACAGTGATCATCCACAGCTTGTTGGTTGTTACTAAGTGACATTTGGGGCCTCTTCAGCTGATGCCAAATAAATAGTTTCCTCCTGAGTACTGAAAGCATCACAGTTCCCCCACACACACTGCACTGCACACAATGCTCCATATGACTTTCAGTTTTGTATATAAACCAACTGAAGTGGAAATGTAGCAGCAGCAACTAGAGTGATTTATTTATGAGACAGTATTATAATTTGTTTTAACTGGGAACTCAACATAGAAAAAAGGACCTGTAGCTGTAACGTATTCATTCAACACAGCGGAGGACTGCAGAGCATATTATATTAATTGTTTAAATAACTGTTTAGCACACCTGGTGGACTGTTTTTATCTGTTCTCTCTTTGTGTGGACATGTGTGTGTCCTCTGTCATTATCATTGGCTTCATTGCTTATCAATACTTCATGGATTAATTAACCAAAAGCTGATAAGATTGCTTTGACAGTTTACGGTCTTTTATACACAGAAAATAGGTTTTATTTTGTAAATCTTGATGTATTACTTGTCATGTCCAGCAGGGGGGAGGCTGATACAAGTGATCAACTCTTCTCCTCTTCCATTTAATCGTTTTGATCAAATAGGATGTACGGCATCACTGTTTTAAACAAGAAAACAACAAGAAAGAAGCAGATGATTCAGGGCCTTTAACCTTGAACTTTAATAACCCTAGCATATTAGAAATAAATGGTTGTCTGGGTTAGTTAAAATAATGTTTCTGTTGTTTAATAATAGATATGACCTTCATTATCACTGATCTTTGTCCAATGAATCCTCATTACCAGCTGAATCTGTGTTTCAGGATTCATTGTGATACGAACTTCTTTCCAGTAAAATGTACTTTTAATAATATAAAAAAGCAATTCAATTGCCCTATAAATAAAACATCATCTGAATCAGGGGGAGAAAATATGCATTATGAGAAGAAGTCTCAGCAACACTGGTACCTTTGGCCATTGAATGACTGACCCCTGCCTTCAGGTGCATTCATTCATTCCCACTGTGTCGCTGCCAAATAGCAATATTGCCTCCTGAAATGTCAGCAGTAATTACTCCTGTGCTCAGAGACAACCTCTGAAATGAATGAAAGCAGGTGGTGATCATGCCCCCCCCCTCTTAGTCCACATGTCCCCCCTCTACGTCACAGTTGTTGGAAACCTCTTGAACTCTGCTGCTGATTTGTTGGCAGTTTTATCAAACATCTGTGTACCACTGCTCTCTTTGCCCTTTGGCATCTGCCTATAATTCCTCTCACATAATCAATATGGTGTCATCAGACCACAGTGTGTGTGTGTGTGTGTGTGTGTGTGTGTGTGTGTGTGTGTGTGTGTGTGTGTGTGTGTGTGTGTGTGTGTGTGTGTGTGTGTATGTGTGCGCGTGTGTGCGCGTGTGTGCGTGTGTGTGTGTGTGCGTGCGTGCGTGTGTGTGTGTGCAGAGGCTTTAATGCCACACAAATAAGGTGTTTCTCTATGTAATGTCTGTATTCTCCAAAAGGGAAAAAGCCAAGAGGTTTACCGGACCAATATTAGGACAATACCCACTTTTTCAGGACACTTTTATAACTTGTGTTTATGTCCATTTGTGTGTCTAAAACTAACATAGTGCTTATTTTATGTGCCACAAATTAAAATAACAAAACTGTTTTCAAAATGTTGAATACAAAATATACTGGTTTTATCAGCATACTCACAATTCTCTTTTTAAATTTTCCTGAAATATAATATTTATATAATACATCTTTACATAGTGCTGAGGGACAGTGAGATTATTTATAGTCTATTTGAAGCCTCAGCAATTGGAATTTCTTGTCACCTATAACTGAAACACATATTCCACACTGCTCGAGGCAAAGTCTTTCCAGTACTATAAATTGATTCTGCAGCAGATGCAGGGAGAGACCTTTGAAGCACCTTGAATTGACAAGTGTTATTAGAATAAAAGAAGACAATGGTGCAGGATTGACTATTTTGTAAAAACTCAATCAGCTAACAGACAATTTAATAGGTATTTTCCTTATAATGGAAGATCTTTTGTTACTTTATCGAAGACATATGTATAATTTTACAACAGTTCGATCCGTTTTTCAAAAGGTCAACCTGTAAGTACTTGTGCATCACCTACTCCCTATTGAACTTTAGTTAAAGATATATCAATACAAATCAATAACATACTTAACATAGATACGCGAGTTACTCATCAGTTAGGTTATTATCTCATACTGTAAATCAGTTTCATATACAAATTGGAATTTAGCAATCATCTTATGAGGGTCACCCAAAGTTGTGTGAAAATAATGGAAGCGTTATCAATAATTGATGGTAAAAGCATAGCAACTACCTTAATAAACCCAGGAGTGGCTTTTCTCTTTCCGCTGCTTTTTTTTCTTTCTTGTGCCTCATGAAAAGGGGTGCATTGAAACGATTATCAGGTCATATCATAAATTGTGGCTTTCGTAATTTCAAATAATGATAATGTGGAGAAAGGAAAAGAAATAATTCAAGAAATGTATTCAGAGGATAAAATCAGCATTGGTTGGCTCGTATTCCCACACATTGATTTAATAACAATGGACGTCTCAATGTATCATGCTTTAATATAATGAAATTTGAAGAAAAAAATGTACGCATGTTCACATACAGAGATAACTAAAACAAAGACAATATCAATAAAAAAAGAAAAATACCCAAACATTTACTAATGTCAGGTTTATTAACTGAAAGATCTTGATAGCTGTTGCTTAAAACATTAGAAGTGACATATCCTTTTTTTAATGTATTAATTAAGTACAGGAAAGTTGGCCGACCACTTTTTCTATAAATATGGAATCTTCCCCAAAAATGTAATAAATAGTTTTATGATATTCAGTATTTTTTAATCTCATATTGACAAAAATATAGCATTAATTCAAATAGATTTATCTAAATATTCACATTAAGTTTATTTTTCGCTGCCTAGATCAATAACTTTCTTATATAGGCCTACAGTGAACAAATCTGATGGAAAATATTCAGTTTTTATTTCCCACTGAAATCACTCTTCATATCAAATACACATCTTTCTATAATGTTGTTTGTTAAAATGTAGACACTTCCTTTATCTTGCATTTATTGAAACATTATTTATCACACATTTTACATGCTTGTATTCTTGATGAAGTGACAGTAACATAGCTAAGTGTTTTCCCAATACATTTGTAAAAGGAATTTTTGTTTGAATCTCTAAAGTACAAACCGGTACAAACAAACAAAGAGCCCATGAAGGCAGCATGTCAGTATCCTAGCGACCACAGACGCCAGTCCGTTGCCTCTATTAACTGGGGGATTCAGTTTGATCTTTTTAGCTTTACTAACTATAATAAGTGTTTGTTTTTAACCGAAAGGATGGACGTTTCCCTCGAGGCAAAAACCAAACCACTTGCCCTCTTGTCAGGGGCGGACTGGCCATCTGTAGAATCTGGAGAACCACAGAACGGCCGGTCGTCAAGGGCCGTTGACGGCCGGCCGGCCGGCCCTTTACATTTTTTTTTTTAAAGTCATCATTTAAGTTGCGCTTACGGCCGACAGAGGGCGACAGCGGCCGCTAATGCAGTTGTGTGGTTCTTATCTGTCAAATAATCACACACGAAGAAGAAAAAAGACCGGCCAGCGGCCACACGAAGGCCCTCGCGCGGAGGGTCCGCCACATTAAGTGCTGTTCCAAACCAACGAGTGTGGAGCGGTGTGGAGGGGGAGTGGGTTATCAAGCCCTCAAACAGCGAGTCTGCAGCGGTGCTGACTGGAGACCGGTCTCTACCTGACCGGAGTCACGCTGTGTGTGTCCGTCAGGTAACACGCTGTTTACAAACAGTTCCAGCAAACATCCACTGATAAACTCGCAGGTGATGCATATAAATGATGCATATAAATGTCGCAAATTGACAGACCTTTTTGGCAGCAGTGCTGCTACAAGCACTATCAGCAGCAGCTTAGAACAAGTGCAAGATGATGAAGAGAATGATGAGGGCGCGAGTTCAGATATACAGCCAGCCTCCTGCGTTCATGATGAGGGACAGAGTTGAGCTGGTGGAAGAACCAGCTCAACTGGCACATACAAGTGCAGGGCAAGAGGTGGCTGAGAATTATCCCTTGAACTCAGTGGCGTTTTCTCCTGGAGGCCAAGGGAAGCCAGGCTTTCCCTGTTTTTTTGGATTGTAGTTATAATTGTAATAAATAAATAAAAACACTTCGTTTAGTTTCGGTAAATATTCTGCCGGCCCATCTCTCCCCCATTCTCATTGAGTATTTTACAAAGAGTGAAACAGCGCCCCTCTAGATGTTATGGTGAAACAGTAGATTGCACTCTGTTACGAGAGGAGGCGAGCCGAAATTGGCTTCCCTTGGTGAAAAGAAATTGAGGGATTGACCAATCAGATGAGGCTCACGTCATGCCTCACAATCCAACCAAATCGCATCAACTTCAGTTCGTACTGTAACTGTCATCACCGCCCTTAAAAAGTAGCAAGCAACTGAAGCAAGTGCAATTATGGAGGGTGGAGATTTGGATTATTTCATAAAAAATAATTTTACTAAACTTCCGCTACTACAGCAGCAACTCAAAATGAAATCTGATGACAGGCCAATGCCCAAACTGGAGCTGTGTACAGAGAGGAAAAAAGGAGCGAATCAGACGTAAAACTTTAAATAATAAACAGCGGATTTCTAACATTTGACATTTCATGTGGCCGGACTGGGTCAGTTTCCAGGGCTGAATTTTAGTCCCAGTCCGCCCCTGCCTCTTGTCTCCCTTCAGTTTTATCCCACCACGACGAAAGGACCCAAAGGAAATGTCGTTTTATAACCAAGACTCCAAGGTAACGTGGTGGAATTCGAACTGTTGTTGCTATTCAAGCTAGCTCTAGCTAACGAATCATCGCGATATTGTGACAATATAAAGCAGAAAACATGTTTGAATTGTATTCCCATCGGCCACAGAGTCCACACACAGATTATCTAATAATATTTGAAAAGTATTTGGTGATCTGGACAGAGCATGTCAGGGTAGTTTGTTAAAGCTAAAGCTAACTAGTTTAATTTCAAATGTTTTATTTTTTAAAACATCACCTGCACTTCTTTTCTATATAAACAAACATACGTGATGTAAAAAGACACAATAAGAACCATTTTATACATGAAACTGTAATAGAAATAAATCTTGTCATGGAATATTGCTCAAATGTACTACAGATACAATTGTGCCCCAAGGATAAAGAGTACACTAGAGTTTATTATAACCTATTAAGGAGATTGACATCACTTCATTTAGAAATACATTTGCAGAAACAATTCAAGTTAGTTGAAAACTTTTTTGATAAACGTTAAAGTGGTTTTAGAAGGAGATGGAAAGATCATGAACCTTTGTCCAACAATGTTATAACACTCTGATTGACAACAGAAAACTACAGTTACACCATTGTATTGTATTTGTTGTATTTGTTTAACTTTATTTGAAGAGGTTGTTTGGATAATTGCTTTCATTTGACCCCTTTTCTCCTGCACCTTCAGCCAAATGAGCATTTAGGACGCACTAGTGTTTGACAACATGCTTTGAATGATCATTATCTTCGTATTTAAAGGTCCTGGAAGTTTCCATGTACGACCAAGTGTTCAACCAGACCGGGAGCTACGACATGAGGCTCCACCGAGATGACAGGAAACACCATAAAGGGACAGGGCTGGACATAAATGAGGAGGTAATGATCACACTTTAAACTGGTTAAGCTTGCTGATGAGCTCAAACGTATGATTATAACAAGTGTCTGGCCTGGACTCAGTAAAAATATTAGCGTTGTTTGTCCTATTTAGGGAAAATGGTCTATGTTTCTGTTGTTCAGAACTCCTGAATTTCATTTCACTTATGCAGATTTTACATACCTTAATAACATCTGTTATCAGTGGTTATTCTTGGATAAAATGTACATGTACACGTAACAAAATGTAACATTACTGGTTTATATGATTTATATATGATTCTTAAATGTCTCTCATATTGAAATGGTGGGGCAAAGACACACATACTTGAAAACAGAAGCTTTAGAGATGATATTTTACATGCAGCTTCTATATTTCGAAATGTTCCATATGAACCGTGTGGTAAGTGACACAGAATATAATTGGGGGGGATGAAACCCTCTTTAATGATCACAGTGAAATGTGTTCTCTGCTTTTAACCCATCCTAGTACCAGGAGTCTAGTACTAGGAGCAGTGGCTATTGTACAGTGCCCGGGGAGCAATGGGAGTGAGGGGGGAAGGGGGGTGTCCGGTGCCTTGCTCAAGGGCACCACGGCAAGGCAGGAGGTGAACTGGGACCTCTCCAAGTAGCAGTCCACACTCCATATTTTAGGTCTGGTCGGGGACTTGAACCGGCAACCCTACGGCTCACAGTCCAAGCCCCTACTGACTTAGCCACTGCCGGACATCTGTTTATGGCTCCTTATGAAGCCATTTCATCTCCACAGAGGAATTATTTATGTCCAGTAAACTGGCTCACAGAGAGTTTCTGGGTCACTGAAAGCAGAGAGGGTGTCAAAACAACAGGCGCACGCACACACGCTCAAATGCAAATGCAAACACACACACACACACACACACACACACACACACACACACACACACACACACACACACACACACACACACACACACACACACACACACACACACACACACACACACACACACACACACACACACACACACACACACACACACACACACACACACACACACAGTGGAGTTTATAATTACAGTGAGTCAAGAGGCTTTCTGGCCGTGATGGTGACAGCTCCCTCTGAATTGAGATGTTTCTGTTCAGGACTTCACATTTGAATGTGAATTAAAAACTATTTTTTGTACAAACTATTCAGAGGATAATGGCAGCGTGTTATTATTTGATCCTGTCACTAATGGAAATAGAAAACCCTGCAATGAAGGAAGGTACGGTCTATTCTGAAAAGAGTAAGCCTGACCTCCCTAAACTAAAAGGTTCTAAGTCAGGGGTGTCCAAACCTTTTTCACAGAAAGCCAGATACAGAAAAATATACGAAGGGCTGGGCCACTCGCTAGAAGTGAGGTATATTGCCTTATAAGTTAAATTATAAGTTAGCAAAATTAATCAAATGTAGGTAAGTTATGCTCTCCATTTACTTTGCTACAAAAAGTGTTCATTCCTTAAAACAGAAGCCTCAGATTGATTATAATAAGGGGAAACAGGAAGCGTATATGTCAAGCTTGTTATGTAAATTAGTTATTGGGCTTTTTTCTTATCAACTTAGATTTGTTAGAAAACGTTTCCAACTTTAATTGACTGAATTTATTTGAAAAGTGGGTTTATTAACACATGAATACTACTACGTGATATATTTTTACATATATATTTAAGAAATACAATATAAGACAAGCACAAGTTTCATTTGTCATATTCCATTATACTTTTTGAATTTGCTGAGGGCCGATTCAAAATGGTCCGCGGGCCGCATTTGGCCCCCGGGCCGTAGTTTGGACACCCCTGTCCGGATCAGACTGGGATATTATATGCAATACATTTCCTAATTCCATTTTCTGTTTCCTAATTTAACATGGATGGGGAGTGTCAAGCCAAGATTTGTTTAATTAACTTATTTTTGATTATTTATTCTGTATCTTTTGGCCTGATCGTCTTCCAGGAGAAGTTGCGGATCGTCCCGGTGCGCTCCTCTGCAGAGTACGGCCGTCGCCCTGTTCCCGCCCTTTTCCAACCGGGCCGGCAGCACTCTCGTGTCGCTTGCATAAAAGCCGAATTTTTCATGAAAAACGGGATCACCTGGAATGTGGCACAGGCATACGGATCAGTGGTCCCTATTTGAAAGTATCATCAAATAATAAACCAGTGTTGCAGCCTGTAGATTTCAGTTGAATTGATGTCAATAAATCTGAATCGAGCAAACTTTAATTAGGTTACACTTCATTCTGATACATTCATTATGGTTATGAGCAATAAAATGGTTATTTAAATTGACATTTTCCGTCAAGATATCAGAAGATATTAAGACAGTGACATTTCCTAGGAAGCTCAAGCTATATTCTTGTTTGAAGCTAAAATTGCTCCATCAGTACCAGTGTTATTTAAGGTTAAGGTGGCACAAATCCAAAATATCTTCCAGTTATTGCATCTCGATATTGCATCATATTAAAGATCAGTCTAGTCTAGGTGTTCAGATTCCTGCAGTATAATGACGGCTTTTATATAAGACACTGAATGTTCTGGATGAAAGGCATATTGTGGATTTTTACAGACAGGATTTCTCTCTTTTTACTTAGAGAGGGACAAAAGTTATCCACATAAAATGTACAAGTTACAAAGTATTTGGTCACACTTTCTTTATGTAAAAACACATCTTTATCCACATCAATAACCTCTTTGATTTGAAAGATTCCTTTTTATAAATACTAAACCTGTGCAACTAAGACCAACCTCTTACATAATGTTTTTGTTTTTGTTAACATTGACATCTCTTAAAGTCTTCTTCCGTTGTACTCTGGTAGAAATAGAGCATGTATTCTTAGAAATGACACAGTATTTGAATCTGTTTCTTTGTTAGAACAGCAGTGTTTATTTAAGGGGTGAACTAATAGCTGAGTAAATTGGAAATGTTGTTGCATGAAGTGGACAAAACACTTTCTAAAACAATGGTTTCACACCTCCATAAGAGATTCATCCTGAGAGATTTCTGCTGTAAAAGTAGCTCATTACATCACAGTCCATTTCAGTTGGACAGTCTTTATTATAATTACTGTTCTAACTTACAGAACATATCTGATGATAGTGTTCATACTAAAAAATACAAAGTGTTATTGATTATTTGCATTTCTAAAGCAGAGTGTATTTTAATAGATGAGATATTTACATTTACACTAATATAGTATCATGTTAAATTTAAAGGAATACATTGATTTTTGGAGAAATAAGCATCTTTGATAATAGATGATCTTTCCATTGCTATATATTTCCATTGTATTTCCCCCAAAATGGCTTCTATTGCTTTAAAAATAGATCCTATGCTATTAAAGAAACTGTTGTTCACGTAGACTATAACATGATTGTCTGATATAATAGATTACATTACATTACATTTAGCTGACGCTTTTATCCAAAGCGACTTACAATTACCAATTACAGGGACATTCTCCCTGGAGTAACTAAGGGCTAAGTGCCTTACTCAAGGGCACACTAGTGGTGGTGTCACAACCTTCCAATCTTCAGCCCACCTCACTATCCATTAGACCACCACTACCCCTAGATACTAGACACAGCCATAGACACACAGTGGAGCCAAGATAGTTTAATATTTCTGTTTGATATAACTCAGACTGTAACAAATACACACAAAATGTCTGTCGTAATATGTGTCAAAAGTTGGAAAAACAGCGAATACTTCTTGTATCTCTGACTTCATCACACACATTTAAGCTCTTCTTTGTGATCTTTTCATAATGAATGTACCATTTTTTTTCTTCTGATCACAGAGCCTCCCCCTTAAACTGTCTTTTTGCATTTAAAAATCTCTACAATAAATAAGTATGCCAAATGAAAACCTGTGTTATCTCCAATCATTCAAACCAAAGATGATAACAGATGTTACTTTAATGTGATGCTTCTTTCAAGCTGCACTTGTTTTTAAAGCACTAAAACAAACCCACAAAGACAGCAGACGTCAATTTATATACAAATGTTTAATGAATAACAAAAGGATGTCAGTGGACATTACACACATTGCTGTTGGTCTGGTTCTAAGTGGATTATATATATAAAAAAAACGTTTTTCTAAAGCTCTTAAGCTATAAATACAATTCACAGGTTTTGGCAAACTATCCATCGCACCCTAAAAGACAATTAGCTGTTTTAACATCCATTTAGGATGAAATGGAACAAACCGGCTCACAGTGCCAAACAGGCAGATATATAAAAATAACACACAGCTCTGCAGGCAGCTCAAGTATAAGGCTCTGAAGCTCTGCAACACTGGCACTTAGCTCCACACCACTACTACTGTACAGACGGGCGGCTGCGGTCCTTGAGAGCAAACCTCTTTTTAGTCAGGCACTCCTTTAGTCAGTGAAGAGACTCCTCAGGGCAACGTCTTGGTCACACTCGAGTTTATAAAAAAATCCAGAGTGCAGCGTTGAAGGACTGCGACATTTCGTCTCTACGTTGTGATGCTATTGCTAAAGACAAAACTGCTTCTCAACAATCGTGTATCCAATGTAGGCTGCTGCTGGTAATGGGTTTACGTTACGGCGCATGAAATATCTACGGCCACTTCGCGTATGATTGTTTTTGTTCTGCCCGCTCAAGGCATCACAGTTCCTTGTGAAAGAGATCGGGTCATCTCCGTGTGGACAAAGAAGGTCTTCAGCTCTCCTTTGCCCTTCACGTTAATGATGCCCCGACACGAACACATGTACCCGAGTGTGGATAAGATGTGATTGGTCTCCTCAGTTACCTGCACAGGAAGAAGGAAACATGACTAGAATAGGAAGTTCTCTATCACGCTAGAAGACCTTTAATGTGGAAAGAGAGACCCTTACTTGTATTTTTCCCAGAACCCCCGTGGTCTCCATCCTACTGGCCACGTTCACACTGTTTCCCCAGATGTCGTACTGAGGTTTCTGGGCCCCGATGACCCCTGCGATCACTGGCCCGTGGTTTATACCTAGCAATACCAAATCACAAATATAATGGATCCTTCTCCTAAATAATTAAGTATTCTAAGCATGACTTTTGCATTAAAATAGGACATTTCTGCTGATAATTCGCCGTGAAGAAATGTTCTCACCAATTCTGAGTCTGAAGTCGTTGAAGGAGTGTTTGTTGATGACATCTAGCTTCCCCACAAGAGCAAAGGCAAACTCCACCATGGTGCCAATGTGCATGTTCTGTCGGTCATGTTCCTAAAATCCATGGGGGAGAAAACGAGGTAATGCGTCATTATGAGGACCTCAATATCATGCAGTGGAATAATCATTGGTTGCGTCTTTGAAATTCAACTTTTGCATCCTGTCGCATCTTCAATCAAGTTTTCTTTGACTGGCTTTTTAAAAAAAACATTATCTTGATGCCACCTTCAAATAAAACTGGACTATTTTATTAAGTTTGGACCATGTGTTCAACCCAGGTTTTCCCTGAATGGCATTTTAAATATTATTCTTCCCAGAGTTACAAAAAACGACTAAGAATTGATCTGCCTCACGTGCAGTACTACAATGGGAGGCTTTACAGGTGAAGCAACATCTAAGGGGGAAAGGGATTTTAGCAAATGGTCAATTTAGCAGATTCCCTACAGGCATTAAAGAAATTTGGTTTTAAAATAAAAATGTGCTGCCACCTTTGTGAGTGCTGATCTAGTTTGCTTCCAGTGAAAACACTCATGTATTCAAATGAGCACAGTTATTAATCACTGGTGCTTAAATGTTTTGTGTAGCACATTTTAAGGTCAACCCACACAAAGCAAATAAACACATTTTGATGCTTAATCTTCATTCTGTTTTGTAGCCATAAATGACAAATGACAATATTTTTGAATATGAGATCAAGCTGCCAAAACTACTTCGCCCTCTGTTTTCGCAAAAAAGGCTCTTGTTCTCTGTTCTGTTATCCAAATATGAGCTCAAATAAAAGCTTGACAGTAGGAGTCCTATCACATGCGATGTCAGTGTGTGTGACAATGTGTGCATGTGTGTAACATCATGCCTGTGCGCACTCTGGTCCCGGAGTCACATTCAGTCCAGTTGCAGCCATGTAGGTGCTGCCGATGGTTTTTATTTTCTCCACTCCGCTGAACTTTGGTTTGGACAGCAGCTGAGGAGAAATGACACACACAGGCGTATCAACACGGCATATCTCTGCCAACACGGCTTTATTGGTGTTTACTGGTATTTACCTATAAAATGTCAGTTATAGGGACATGGAACAACAATGAATAGAAAATGACCATAAAGCAACACAAAATGATTTAAACAAGACTCAAAAATAATAAAAAATGAATATAAAGTGATACAAAACAAGCACAAAATATTCAAAATGAACTTGAGTCTCATTACAATGACAGAAACTGACTAGGAAGAGACACAAAAGGTCTATAAAGGGACATGGAGCAACTGCAACATGAGTAAACATGACTGCAGAGACACATAAAACCACAAAGAGACACAAAACTGTGTGTGTACATGTGATGATTGAACATGAATGTGATTCCTTCTCCATTCTGAACAGACACAAATTACTTCAAAGGGAAAAAAAGACTACAAAAAGACAAAAATGACCACAAAGAGACTTAAAATGCCTACAACGCTAGAAAAGGGGACACAAAAACCACAGAAAGATGCTTATACAAGACACATGACATGACTACAAAGAGACACAAAGAGGGACGATGACTTGAGAGCATAATCATTCAGTGTGGCTGTGTCTCAGAAAAAGATTATTTATTTCCACATTGTCAGATGGCAGGATTATTAGAGTGAGAGGAGTTTACCTCATCAAAGTCTGCTATGATCTCGTTGAGAAGACGGAGGCACTCCAGTCCCTCCTTATTGACATCAGACTCGGTATAAAACTCTTTGAAGTCCGGGATGGAGGCGAACATCACACACACGGACTCGTAGGACTGATGATAAAGGTCCTGATAACGAGAGGGAGGAGATAACAGCTGGATGTGTTGTATTGATCGAGCACCGAAAGAAAGTAAAGAGTCCCAAGCACAGAGGGGAGATCTATGGGCTGAATACCTGACACTGATCAATTACAGCGTTTCTTTAAATAAATAAAATGACACTTTAATCATTTCTGTCAGGGCACAGGGTCACTGCAGCAGCAAGATAGCAACAGCATCCATTACAGGAACCACAGGATTCAGAGCAGATTAAATGAGGGTACCGAGTGCAACTTAAAATGGACCAAATAAAAAAAATAGGAACGGTGGCAACATCAGTTAAGGAAGGGTTAGCATGCAAAAGCAGCAGAGCATGACAAAA